GAAGGGAGGGACGCACGACGAGCGGGGACGGAAGGCGAGGCGGAGCAAGCGAGGGGAGGGCGAGCGACAAGGGCGGGACGACCGAGGACAACGCGAGAGGGGCAAGCGCCCGAGAGCGCCCCAAGACGGCCCCAAAGCGGCCCCCAAAAGGGGCCCCGGGAGTGGGAGCACGAAGCGAAAAGCCGAGCCTTTCGCCCCGAGAGGCCCCCAGGAGGCCCCGAGGAGGCGCCCAAGAGGCCCCAAGAGGCCCCCAAGCGGCCCCCCAGAGGCGCAAGAGGCTCCCAAAAACGCGCTTTGACTGTCACGTCCGAGGCTGGTGAAATACACTTCCTGGGGGGACGATCACCGAGCAGGTGAGAACAGCAACCAAGGCCACGCTAACGGCGATGCTGGTTAACGGCGATGTTGGGAATATGGTTTTTGCGACGCCGAGCTCGCGAAGAATCACTTGTATGAAAACACGAGCAACGCTTTCCTACAGTTGGACTAACAGCGCAAAACCTCCACCTACAATAAAGAAGCCTATGTCTCCGAGACCTACACCGCATGAAGCGTATGTGGAGCAAGCACGAGTTCGACGGCAGCAAGAGCCGCCGCGCAAGTGGCAGGTGAGACTCTGAAGGGGGGGGGGGCTAGTACGGTATGACACACACACACACACATGTAGCCGCTGCACCTCGACAATCGTCGCCCATCTGCACCCAGTGCTGGTGCAGCCCAGGCGAAATGTCAGCAATTGGGTGTGGGGAGCTGAGTGACGGGTGCAGCTCCAACTGGCCAGCACAAGGTCCTTCACTGAGTGTGGAGTTAAGAGGCTGTAACGATCTCCACTGGGATCATGCGGCTCTGCACCTACCGCGCCAGTGGCGCCTAAGGTGCGGGAGCACGGCACTGCATTAGCACCCAGAACGGCCAGGCGAGGAGGGCAAGACAGGAAACCAGCGCCGACCATCCTTGCCAAGTACCTCAGGCCATACCCTACGAGCGTCATCCCACCTATGAACTTCTTGACGGTAGGAGGGGACCTAGAGTGTGCGCAAGGTCTCGCTGTCACAGCTAAGGGTCCACAGACTGTAGTGAGCAATGCGGTCGAGCACCCAGGGGAGGCACGCAGGCAGGCACCAAAAATGGGGGTAAGCTGGTGTTGTGGCTGTCGTGTGAAGCTCTAGACAATGTGCTGGGGTTTTGGTTTTATCCTTAGACGATAGTGCCTCTCGTACTTCGACTCAACGCAAATCGTTGATGGTCGGATCTTGAGTTTAACAATTTGGTTTGAGCGGAACAGGCGGTCGCCCATGCAAGGAATCTCGAGGGGCAGGGGGAGGGGAGGACAGATGATGCAGGACGAATAAGGCAGGATGCGGGGATTGGAGGGAGGGGAGGAGCATGAGGAGCATGAAGAGCAGTGAGGAGGGGACTGCCGCAGCAGCTCGAATAAGAGAGGGAGAGTAAGGGAGAGTTGGAGGAAAGGAAGGAAACTGCCAGGCGAAGACGGCGTAGATGGAGGGCAGGGAGGGAGCAGAAGAATGAGCAGCGACAAATGCGAAGACGAAGAACACAACAACGACGACGACGGTGGCGACAGCGGCGGCGGCGGAATCAGAGTTCGCCAGGGAGCGGGCGGCGGCTCCTCCGGAAGCGGCTCGGGCTCGTCGTTGGTGACCTTGCACACTAGCGACAAGACGTTGCCCGCCTGGCCCGCTTCCCACAAGGGGAAGCCGACGGGCTACATACTATTTGCGCCACCCGTACCGCAAGGGCCTGCCGCCTAATTCACGACAGCCCACTGCGCCTACATAAGCAGGTGTGTGCGTGTGTTTCACTTACACCCGAGATACGCTACAGGCTTTGCACCTAGAGCCCGCCCAACCTAACAAGAGGCCGACGGAGTGACAAAAAGAGAGGGGGGGACCAGGAGGGGGAAGACGGGGAAGGCACCAGCCCCTTCCCAATTGCCTGCCCCTGGTCACTCCTCCTCCTTCTCCTCCTCCTCCTCCTGCTCCTCCTTCTCCTCCTCATCATCATCCTCCTCCTCCTGCTCCTCCTGCTCCTCCTGCTCCTCCTGCTCCTCCTGCTCCTCCTCCTCCTCCTCCTCCTCCTCCTCC